TGTGGCCAAGAGCCCATCTGGGGGACACGGAGGCAGCGGGCAACCAGGAGCCCCAGCCCCACTTGGCGGCAGTGGGGGGCGGGGGGGGCGTCTGTTTAAGAACGATGAGCCTGTTGTCTGGGCAGTGGGAGTGGCCCTCCTGCACTAGGTTTGGGGGGCGGAGGCAGTTGATGTCCTGGGACCTACAGGGTTGGCATTGCTCTGGAATCTGTGACTTTGCAAGCCTCCTAATCTCTCTGGCCTTAATTAGCTCCCCTGAAATCTGGCACCATTGGTCGCTGCCCCTGGCCAGCCCCAGGCTTGCTTCCCCACCCGCCTCCCGCCCTCTTCACAGAGTCTCTATCCCACTTATGTGTGTCCCACACCCACCAGGAGATAAGTGGATGAATGAATGAGTCAGGGCACCCAGAGAGGGTTCCAGAAGGTAGGTTCCAGAAGGCTGGGTGCAGGGGGGTGGAAGAGCTGGGCTGTGGCCGAGCTGTGTGGCAGTGCCCGGTGCGAAGGCCCCCAGGCTCCTCTGGGCTTTGGGCTGCAGGAAACAAGGCTGAGGATGAGGAGGCTAGCTTATGTGTTTCCCTGTCCCTCCCTGGGTAAAGGGGGACCCAGAGTCTGGAGAGAGTCCGCTGGAAGGCAGCCCCCCCCCACCCCCCATGTCACGTCCGGGACTGAACTCTGCAGGGGTGAGGCCAGGTGCAGGCGGGCTAGGACGGCGGCCCAGGTGGGACCGGGAGCACGAGGGGACCGACGCACCATGGCCCTGGGCACCCGCTCTGCAAGGACCCCGCCCCATCTGAGACTCACCCCTCTGTCGCACAGGACGGGGACAAGTTTTGGCGGATGCCCGAGTGCTACATCCGCGGCAGCACCATCAAGTACCTGCGCATCCCCGATGAGATCATCGACATGGTCAAGGAGGAGGTGGTGGCCAAGGGCCGGGGCCGCGGCGGCCTGCAGCAGCAGAAGCAGCAGAAGGGCCGAGGCATGGGGGGTGCTGGGCGAGGTAGGCCCCTCTCTCCCTCCCCGCCCCCTCCGCCCGTAGCAGGCTAGGCCGCAGAGCCTGCCCAGGCCTTGCCCAAGCTGCAGGGTGACTGCAGCACGTGGCAGCCGTCCCGTCCCAGTGTTGACATTCTTGGGTCCTGCCGTCATGGTGCCACAGGCCTGGCTCTGAGCCCCCTCCACAGAGCTGGGGGTTATGACTCACAGGGTTCCTCCGGGGCGGCCAAGGCTGCTCTTTGCTGCCTGCCCCGGCCCCACAGCCCCAACCCAGGCAGCCTGGTGTAGCCCTGGCGGGCCGTGCTGGCTCCCCCACGCCCCTGGGCCCTTCTGCCCAGCAGCAGTCCTCGGGGCTCCGGAAGCCTGGCTCCAGCCCGGCAGACCGATGCAGTGCCCGTGCAGACCTGGGGCTTGAGCCCTCATCCGATGCCCTCCTGTGTCCCCCGGCGGCTGTTCTGGGCATGGTGCGCCACCTCCCTGGCTCGTTTCCCCTCTGCAGAGAGAGTCTGGTGGTCTCCGCCTCACCAAGGCTGCTGGCGGGGATCCCGGCTCAGGGCCTGGCACGAGCCCCTTCCCTGCTGTCACTCCTTTTCACAAGGCCAAGTTCATTCCTTTCTGATAGACTCCTCTCACCCTACCCACCCCCACCCCCAGCCACCAAAATTATAAATCTGGCATAAACTTCAATTTGTTGTGCAGTCAGCTGGGTCCTGAGCCTAGAGGCCATCTGCAGACCCTCCCTCCCTCCCCACACACGCCCCGCTCCTCTTGGAGGGCCCCAGCTTTGTCTCTTCCATCTGGAGGGGCCTTCCGTGTGCCAGGCCCAGGCTCCCCCCGCCCCGGGGGCTCACAGGCAGGGCCAGGAAGGATACAAGAGCCGGCCCTGAGCTGAGGCTCACGTGACAGGAGTGAGCCAGAGGGAGGAGGTCTGGAGGGCACTCCAGGTGGGGACATTGCCAAGGCCTAGGGGCGAGCAGGGCCTTTTCCATACCTGAGGGCCAGGCTCTTCGTGCTGAGGCCACCACTGCTAAGTGAGATGCCCAGAGGAGCAGGGAGGGAGGGAGGAGTGATTAGCTTAGGCCACTCTGAAGAGAGACCGTGGGGCCCTCGGTAGCAGGTGGAAATCTCACCCTGTGTGGCAGAGCTGGTGGAAATCTCACCCTGTGTGGCAAAGCCGGTCTTGCCCCGGGGGAGGTGAGGTCAGGCAGCCCCTGCAGGGATGGGCCTCCATCCCGACAAGGCCCAGTGTGTGTTTGTGGTGGAAGGGGGACTGTGTGCGCCTTTCTGGACCCCATGCCACTGTGGTCCTTCGGGACCTCCCTGGGCAGGGGTGTGTTCTATCCCTTATTACTCAACCTCCCACACAGCTCCTACCTTGGGCTCCATGTAAAATATCTTAGAAGCACAGCTCCGTCACTGGCTGGCAGAGGTTACAGGGCAGGGAGCTCCCCTGTCCCCACCCCTCAGCCAGACACACAGAATCTCCCAGTTGTTTCTCTCCTGGGCCAGTGGATGTGGACAGTGCTGGAGAAAGAGGGAAGCCTGGGTCCTCAGAGCTGGGGGCCTGTGGCCGGCCCCCTGGGCTGAGTCCTGCCCCTATTCTGGGTCTTGCTCCCCTCCTCCTGGAAACCATCTGGCTTTATCCTTGTAATGACTGCCCCCTACCCTGGCCCCAGGCCCTCTCCCAGGAAGCCTTGCCCAAGCCCCAGTGTGACTTAGAGCTGACCTCTGTCCTCCCTGGCATCCCTCATACCCCTTGGGAGCTGGTCTTGTCCCTTGTCAACACTGAGAACTTTCTGGAGCACCACCCTCACGTTCTCAGCTGGGCCTCCAAACCCGGCTCTGCTGCAGCCCCCTCCTCTGTCTCACAGGTGTGTTTGGTGGCCGGGGCCGAGGTGGAATCCCAGGCACAGGCAGAGGTCAGCCGGAAAAGAAGCCGGGCAGACAGGCGGGCAAACAGTGAGCTGCCCCTCCGTCCCCAAGAGACTGAGCCGCCACTGAGCATCTGCTACCACTCCCTGAGGCTGTGTTTCTACTCTCCAGGTCACAAGTGTGTTCAGAACAAAAAAGAGGCAGGTGTTGGGGAAGAGCCCCCCTCCCCGCCTGTCATTTTGTGATCCTTTTTACATAAAGTGCCCCCCCCCCTTTTTTTTTAAGCCAGCAGTTCTACAGTTGGATATGTTATTCAGTGTTTTTGGTTTTCTGAAGTCTCCAAGCTGACTTGATTCCTGGAAGATTCTGTGTTTAATGTGTCTTTAAAGCCCTCGCTCTTGTTTTAAGGGCGGGCACTTTCCAAACAGGCTTGTTTTGCATTTTGAGTTGGATTCTCATGTGGTGAACAGACCGGAGGTTTTTATTTTAAGCTGTTTGCACTGAGATTGACAGCCTTGGGAGTTTCCTGAAACACGGACCTCAGGATTGCCTTTTGAAAACAAATACGTATGAACGTATGCCACAGAAGCTGTTCCTGGGATGTTGCTGGGCCCTGCCCCTTTGCCTCCTCTCTCCCTGTTTGTGTTACAAGAATAAAAACAAATACAACTACAAACTGCAAATTCATAATTTATTTTTGAGTCACTGGGCACATCTAGAGTGTGGTATCCTCAGGAAATCACAGTCCGGTAAGAGAAGTTTCCTTTTCGAGGGTTGCTGCCTGTCTCGCCAAGGGGAAGTATTTCAACAGGACACTGGTTCCTTGTCCCTTGATTTCCTTTTTAAGAACGATGAGCCTGTTGTCTGGGCAGTGGGAGTGGCCCTCCTGCACTAGGTTTGCCTGTAACCCTTGCCCCGTTGTAGAGAGGGTTGATGGGGGGCGGGAGGGGGCAGTGTGATACCCATTGCAGCCCATCCTTGTGGCCAGTGTCCTGCCCGCCATCCCTGCTTTGTAAGCACCATTCACACCAGAGTTCACTGAGAAGCTGTGACAAGCGCCTGCCTCAAGGAATGTGCTGGGAAGGCTCTTACCTCCTCCTCTCCAGGTTGGGGCAGCTCCTGTCCGCACCGTGGTGATTTGCCTGGGATGTTGAGCCAGCACTCCTACAAAATGTTTCTGTGACATTGTCCGCGGGCTGATTTTCCTTTTTTATTGTGAGGGGAACTCCTGAACGGCCCGGTGCTGGGAGGCAAGATGGGGTGCCAGCCGGCTCCCGTGGGACTGGGTTCTAATTGTCACTGTGTTGAGACCTGTTCGGAGGGGCGATCAGAATAAAAGGTGTTGCCTGAGAGCTCCGCTTGCTGGAGCTGCCAAGTGCTAGCCCAGCGGTCTTGCAGACACCCACATTTAAGACTCAGCCTGCCTCAAGAATGTGCTCTGCCCCTGCCCCCACCCGATCATTGCTTTTCCCTGAGGCACCGCTTGTGGGACCTGCTGCAGCTAGAACGCTTGCCTAGCACTCTGGCACGGGCTGGGACAGCGCGTGGGGTTTGAGTGGGACCTGGGGGCGTCTGATAAGCCCCAGGCCTGCAGAAATCCCCTCTCGCAGAGATGTGGGCTGCTGGGGTGGGTTGGGGGCTTGGCGACGACGCGCGGGGCAGGAACGAGAAGGGAGGGACCGGCGGGGAGGGAGGGAGCTGGGTCCCCAGCTCCCCTCCCCCATGGCCCTGGACTCAGCGGCCCATAAAAGCCTCTGGGGCCCTGGTCTGGGAGGCTTTGATAAAAGCCGGGGTCAGGTGTCCAGCTCGGCAGCCAAGGGCCAGCCCTTTGGAGGCCCCGCCCCTTCCTGCTTCGGGCGGTTCGGTTTTTCCTCCCTAACTGAGCTCGGCGGGGAGAACGCCTTCGTCCTACCGCCCCGTCGCAGTTCGGGGTCTTGGGCCCCCGCGGCGCCCGCCCTCGCCACGGCTCTGCGCTGGGGCTCAGGCTGCCGCTCGGAGCCTGCGGGAGCCTGCGTGCGTAATCGCGGCTTCCCGCGTGTGTCGCCAGACACGCCGGCCGGCCCTGACCTTTCCAGCCAGGCGGCCCGGGCTGGCGGCCCAGTCCCCTCCTCGCCCGCCGGTGACGTGAGCCGCCTCGCCAGCCCAGGCCGCTTAAGTGCGGTGGGCTTCCGGAAGGTTCTGTCCTTCTGAGTCGGCTGTCAGGACAGCCCCGTTTTTCAGTCTCCTCCCTGGTTGGTTTCGAGAAACGAGCCTCAGCCCCCTCAACAAGAAAAGAAACCAAAAGCTCCCGGCTAGTTCTTAGACACTGGGCCTCGATATTTCCGCCCTTCTGGTGGTTGTCGACTGGGGTCTGAGCCCTCATCAGCTGACTGCTGCATGACTCCGGGGCATGCAGGACGTCTAAATCGTAGGTGGTTCCCAGGAACCAGAAACCAGAGACCTCCTACCCCTGGAGTTTGCTCCAACTCCCCTCGGAGCAGAGGTGTGACTTAGCCTGGGGCCCAGGCTCTGCAGGGCTGGCCTTGACGGCCCTAGCCCCCTCTTGCCTGACCTGTGGCCAAGAGCCCATCTGGGGGACACGGAGGCAGCGGGCAACCAGGAGCCCCAGCCCCACTTGGCGGCAGTGGGGGGCGGGGGGGGCGTCTGTCTTGCTATCCTGTGTCATCCCTTCCTGCACACATCTCCTCCGATTCCTCCTCCTCAGGGCCTCACCTGCTGCTCCCAGAGCAGCTCTGCCGGGAAGCCCTGCCCTGTGCCCACTGAGCCCACATGGGCATGATGGCAGGTGTCCTCCCCACCCATCCATCTGGACCCCGGGGGCCCAACCTCTCCCGGTATCAGCAATGTGTGTATCTCCAGTTGCTCAGTGCATGCCCTGGTGTCCTCTGCTGTCCCTCTGACGACAAACGGCCACTTGGCCAGTGAGGGGCATAGGAGATGGGACCTCTGTGGGAGAAGCCGCCCGCCTCAGTGAAGCAGAGAGCTGGCCTGGAGGCAGAGGTACGGGGGCCACAACCCCATCCCAGGTGCTGGAGACTCAGCCTGCATTAGGCAAAGAGCCCCGGCCCAGTGGCCCTTACTTACCTTCCACGGGGTGAGCTAGCAACAAACTAGCCGAATGCATCAGTGTGGAGAAACAGAAAGTGAGAGTGGGAGAAAGAGGCGGTCAGGGCAGGCCGGAGGGTGACTAGCATTCAAGGAAAGGGCTTGAGGAAGGCAAGGGAGCCATCTAGAAGAGCATTTCCGACGAAGAGAACAGCTTGCCCAAGTGCCATGGCCCTACACAGAGTGGTGACAGGAACAAAGTGAGGGGGTAGGAAACGGGGCAGGTGCTGCGGGCCCTGAGCAAATGGGAAGCACAGAAGGTTCTGGAACAGACTGAGACAAGGGTGGAAGCCGGGAGACCAGGAGGAGGTGGGGCTGGGGGCTCAGCCCAGGGTAGAGGTCGCAGAGGGGGCAAGAGAACAGGCAGGGGTGCCTTGAGGGCCTGGGGCAGATAGGCTCATCTTTCTGCAGGAAGCCAGGATGCTGGGATGGGAGCTTTCCAGAGTGGAAGGGGAGGCCTTGCCGAGGGGGGCATGTTCAGACCAAATCCCGAAGGTCAAGAAGCCACTGTCCATGGGAAGAGAGCAGAGGACACGTGGAGGGAACTGCAAGTGAAAAGCCTCCGAGCTTCTGTGGCCTGCTCAGGGAGGGCAGAGACCCAGCATGATCCCAACAACAGCCTCGTGTGTGCCAGGCAGCTCCTACCACTCGGGCACAGAGTGGGTGAGCCACCTGCGCCAGGTCACACAGCTCCAGAGCCTCCTCAGAGCTCCTCCCTCTGTAGCCGCCTTGAACTTGGAGGATCCACTTACCTTCTCTGAGTTCAGCTGTGTCAGGTGTAGAACCAGGAGGCAGGAGTCATTTGGGGTGGGGGCAGGCAAGGTCGGCACTGGCTTTAAAGTTTATTCCCCTGACTGTTGCCTCAACTGAGGGTATTGGCCTCCACTTCACAGGGGTTGTTGGGAGGATTACATGGGGGAGGAGGCTTGGTATACAGCAAGTGCCCCATATATACTCGCACACATCTTCGGGGCGCCTGGGTGACTCAGTCGTTAAGCGTCTGCCTTGGGCTCAGGTCATGATCTCAGGGTCCTGGGATCGAGCCCCGCATCGGGCTCCCTGCTCCGCGGGCAGCCTGCTTCTCCCTCTCCCGCTCCCCCTGCTTGTGTTCCCTCTCTCGCTGTGTCTCTCTCTGTCAAATAAATCTTAAAAAAAATAAATAAGAGTGCTGCTTCATTCTTCATTGATCACCTGCAGAGTGTCTGAAACCTCTCCCGGGAATCTCTCCATCTCTATCAGCCTTGAGCTCAGCCTGAGCTGCTCATTGGCTGGGAGGCCCCGGGCAGTGGTGCCACATGCTTGGCCTGCCCTGTGGTCAGTGGCTAGTAGCCACTTTCCTCCGTGCCCCGGAGGCCAGCCTGGATGCCTAGCCCTGGCTGGTGAGCAGTCACCTTGAAGGTCCCCGGTGCTGCCCTAAGAGCCCCCTCCCAGTCTGGGTCCAGCCACCCAGCAGTGACTCACCCTTGCCCGCCCCACCTCCACTGGAACCAGGCACCGAAATAGTCACCCTGCTCACCCTTGGGAGTGGCCGTGGAAATATTTTAGGGCTGCATTCAGCGCCTAAAAATACTCGGCGCATCCTCCTGCATCTTCCCCTCCCTAATTCCCTTTTCTATTCCTTTGAAAACTGTCCCTGTAAGCACCCCCAGGGCCTGCCCTTCCTCACTGTGTCCCTCCAGCGTGTTGAGCGTCCCTGGCAAGCAGGACTCAGGGGTGTCCCCAAATGCCCAAGTGCGTGTGGATGACTGGTGAGGTGGCCTCCCTCCTTCCCTCGCACCCTCCCTGTCACCATGGAGAGACTCAGACATGGTTTCCCCAGAACCTTCTGGAAAGACTGTCTTTTCCAAAACCCCCAGAAGACTCAGTTCCTGGGGCACAGTGATGCTATCCAGGGAGGTCTTCATTACTCAGCAATTTTCCTTAAAAATTAAAAAAAAAATGCCTCGTGCTGTTTGTGTTCATGAGTGGGGTGGAAACAGAACAGGTCCCCCAGCTGGACAGAATCCATTGCCTCTCCTGCTCAGTTGCAGCCGAACCCCACTAGCTTGTAGGTCCTCTTGCCTCCCCGAGGGGGTGCAGACTGACCCTCCAAGGCACCCAAATGTCCTCAACATCATCCCTAACCACCAAACACCTTGACCTTTCCTGTGATGGGAGGAGGTGGGGGCTGGGAGCAAATGGAGTCAGACTGCAGCTCAGCCCACCTGGGGTCTGATCCAGCTTCTTGGTTACCTGAAGCCTCCAGCTCGATGGAACAGCAGGTGTGAAGGCCTGGGGGCGGGGGCACGCTGGGCATCTTGAAGATGCAGTAAGCTGAGCATTATTAACTAAAGAACACATTTTATTCAGATTTTCCTCAGGTTTTACCCAATGTTCTTTTAAAAATGATAATTGAGGGGCGCCTGGGTGGCTCAGTTGTTAAGCATCTGCCTTCCGCTCAGGTCATGGTCCCAGGGTCCTGGGATCGAGGCCCGCATCGGGAAGCCTGCTTCTCCCTCTCCCACCCCCTGCTTGTGTTCCCTCTCTCGCTGTCTCTCTTTGTCAAATAAATTAAAATAAATAAATAAATAA